GGTCACTCTGTTTCAGCGTGACTAACCGACAGTGGAACAACTAAATGTTTTGATGACAAATATAACAGTGAACACAGGCTATGCTCTGTGTCATTTTCTCTTCAGCACTTCAAATCAATTTGAAATCTATGTGAGTAATTGAAAAAAGAGTGACATTATTTCTTCAAATTAACTGAAATATTCATCCATTTCTTAATTGTTTTATCTTAGTGCCCATTAAGTTCTTGCCCAAGAGGACATCTTGAGTTGTGTTTTTCCTATCAATAGTCCAAAACCCAAAACAAAATTATAATTACAGTGAGTCTACAATGATTATTTTTATGATTGGTTAGTCTCCTTCGTATTTTCTTGCATAATTGTACTCATTTTGTTTATAAAATGTCAGAAGATAGAGAAGAATACATTGCCCAGACCTCACAATGGGATTCTTACTGTTTTTTCCCAATCATTTATCCAAAATCCAAAGTTGTTCACTTTAGTTTCTAATATCATAATATTATATTTAGAGGTGTTGCTAATATTCTGACCATCTCATGTGTGTAGCTGGGGACAACAAAAATATTGAGACAGCTCTGAATATAATGTAGTCCAGTACGACACCACCTTTAACTGTGACCTCAATAATAAATATATAATTGAATTTATACATTTATGACAATTTCACCAAAAACTGAAACATTTTGAGCTTCATAAACACAGACATTAAGGCAGAAGTGTTGCATTAGATTGCATACAATTGTACAGGTGTACCTAATAAAGTGGCTGGTGAGTGTATATCTTGCATTAAAAAATGCACCTTACTGTTGAGTATTAGGTTCGGACTGGCCACATCTGATTTCTAGTGTTCCAAACCACTTTATTTTTACCCATCTCTGAGAAAATGTGTTTGAAATTAAAGAGGCAGTATTGGCATATATTTAGAGATACAGCAGTAAATATGAATTTGCTGGACTAATCAGGCACAAAAACAGTATGGGAACATTCTGATAGAAATGATGAATTCCAGCCCTTAAATGTCCTTTTAGGAACATTTCATGTGATGAGTTCAATTTATAAATTAGGATTGATGGCGTGCGAATTCATCAAACTACACGACTCAGTAGGAGTTATCCTTGCTGCAGCAGAGCATGAGAATATGACTACATGACTGAGTGTGATGTTTCACCCCAATGGCAAGTGAAAGTTTGATTCTCAGTAATGAACATGCTTTCCTTTTTGGTTTAGTGGTGAGATGCTCTGTGAGGCTGCTGGCAGGTTGTTCTGTCTATTTTTTCCTCTGTGGTTCTAAACTAAACTAAATAACATCTGCTAATAGCAGGTGCTGTCTCATGCATTACAACCTAATGTAGAGTGGGCTGCATATCCAACTCAAAATAGTACTAGAAATTAACATCGATAACAAAGTTTGAAAATGATGATAATCTGTCTTCTAACCACTCAAACCAATGAAACCCCATGTGAGATATGTAAGTCCAGAACAGAAGATGCCCACTGAATAGTAAGTAGAATGAAGTCATTTTAACCCAACCATGTTTTAAGTCATTATTCACCAGTAAATTCCCACAGATATTAAAGTCTAACACACTGCACAGGGAGTGGCTGATCTTTCTTAGTTTCACTTCTGTGTCATGTCTGTGTGAAAAATGCAGTAACTTTTTTATGGGTGCATGAGATGCCTTCCTATTGCAGCTCCAGGAAGGCATCTCATTGTTGTAACATTGTTGTCAAAACAGAGTAAAAAAAAAAACACATCAGACTTTGATAAGATATGCTGCAATCAGGCTTAAAGCACAGCAACCACAGAGCTGATTTCAGTTTGAAGGTTTTGACTATTCAGTGACCTTTTTTTTTTAAAAATTACTTCATCATTCTACTGACTTTAGGTACATTTCCGCTGGTTTAATTGGAGAAAACAAGCATCACTATTATTTTTATTCAGTGGCCTAATAATAGACAATCATTACTGAACACAGCAGGTGCAAGTAATAAAATGTAAAGGGAAGTATGTCTCTGTTGTGGTTGCAACACAGTTCTCTAAAAACATCTAAACCATGCTATCCTGAACGATGTGATCCTTAAAGCCCCTCATTTCTAACAAGTTAAATAGACAGGTAGTTGATCTTCAGTGGGACAGTTAATATTAGAAAATTAAGAAATTGGAAAATAAAAACAAAACTTGGGTCTTGATATAAGCAAAGTGAGCAAAATAAGTTCACTCACCTGAAAATGAAACAAAGGCACCGCACAGACAGAGGAAGGATGAATGAGTTTACACGACCCAGCAGAGCCAGCAGAGGAAACCTCACCTTTGGCCCACGTGTGCAGACTGAACTATCAACCATACAGCCCTGCCAGTGAGTCAACCGCTCTGTCCCACCTC